GAGAGGGAAATCCAAGCTATTAAAAGTCATTAATTTCTAGGTATTTCCGTTTCACATCTCAGCTTTAAGGGAGGTGTTAGCAGTATTATTTCCATTTTCGATCTCCCTCCAAGCTCTACCTTTTGGAGGGGTCTGTCTCACTCTGTCAAGTGGAATCCTTCCCTCTCCAACTCTACCTCCCTCACTCATTAAACTCCTTTCCCCTGATCAGAGAAAGGGATCAAGGGGGGAAAGACACCAGCCTTGGTCTCTAAGCCTCCAGAAATGTACTCCTAAACCCCATCTTTTCTTGTCCCCGTAAAGGAATTAATTAACATCCCTGACTATGTGGAATGGTGTATACTGCCACATCAGTGTTTGAGTCAATGCCCAGAGGAGAGGGGGAACCTCCTCCATCTTTTTTGCAACATCTCATATCTTCCTTTTGCTCTTGCTTCCCCCCACCACACACTTGATTTTGTTCTATCCTACATTTGAGATCTATTTTGTGTTGAACTTGCTGCTTTTTTCATATTGAAAAGATAAAATTGCCCCAAGAGCCAAAAATAAATGGGAATTGGAAAAAGTAAAAAAAAAAATATCAAAAGTAGTCCCTTACAAAAAATGATCTATGATATTAGATTCCATTTTTATGAAGTTCAAAACAAGAAAAATGGACATAGAGTGACAGAAATCAGAAACTTTATTTGCATTTCTCTGATGATTAGTGATGCTAAACATTTTAAAAATATATTTACTGGCCACTCATGTGTATTCTTTTGAGAAGTGTCTGTTTGTGTCACTTGCCTATGTATTATTCCATTTTCAAACTGCTGATAAAGACATACCTGAAACTGAGAAGAAAAAGAGTTTTAATTGGACTCACAGTTCCACATGGCTGGGGAGGCCTCAGAATCATGAAGGGAGGTGAAAGGCCCTCCTTACCTGACAGTGGCAAGAGAAAATGAAGAGGAAGCAAAAGCGGGAACCACTGATAAATCCACGACATCTTGCGAGACTTGCTCACCATCACAAGAATGGCACAGGAAAGATGGGCTCCAGTGATTCAATTGTCTCCCTCCAGGTTCCTCCTACAACACTTGGGAATTCTGGGAGATAAAATTCAAGTTTCAATTTCGGTGGGGACACAGATAAATTAGCCAATTTTTAATGAGGTTATTTGGTTTTTGCTTCTTAATTTGCTAATTTCCAATAGATTCTGGATGTGATGTTAGGACTTTGGTGGATGCAATGTGTGTGAATATCTTCTCACGGTCTGTAGGTTGTCTGATTGCTCTGCTGATAGTTTTGTTGGCTTGTTTGTTTGTTTGTTTTGCTCAGCAGAAGCTCCATAGTTAATTAGGTCCCACTTGTCTATTTTGGTTTTTGTTGCCATTGCTTTTGGATACGAAGCCAAAAATTCTTTGTCAAAACTAGTGTTGAGAAGAGTATTTCTCGGTTGTCTGCAAGGATTTTTACAGTTTGAAGTCTAACGTTTAAATTGTTCATCAATTTTGAGGTAATTTTATACACGTTGAAAGTAGACGTCCAGCTTAAATCTTCATCATATAGCTAGCCCGTTGTGCCAGCAGTATTTATTGAACAGGGAGGCAGTCCTTTCTTCATTGCTTGTTTTTGTCAGCCTTATCAAAGATGAGATGATTGTAGGTGTGCAGCCTCACCCCACTCAGAATAGTTATCACTAAAAAGTCAGAAAACAACGGGTGCTGGTGGGGCTGTGGGGAAAAGAGAACATTTATACACTGTTGATAGGAATATCAATTAGTCCTGCCACTTTGGAAAACAGACTGGAGATTTCTCAAAGAACTTAAGACAAGAGATATCATTTTACACAGTGATTTCACTACCGGGTATACGCTAAAAAGTAAGTAAAAAATTATTGGTGCACAGATTTGTCAGAAACCCTAAAACTGTCCATTGAAAATCTATGCATTTTATCCTAATTTTATCTCCTAAAAGTAGAAAATAGACAATTCTATGGAAATATTTTATATTGAAATTAAAATATTGACAAAATGTGTATGAAAATTCAAATACAAAACGTAAATGTGATTACTACAATAATTATTAAAATACATTCAGCTATGCTAGAATAAAGTCCAAGAAATAAGAAAGATAAAGGTGACCTATTAAAATGAAAAATTAATAAACACAAATTTCACAGATAATTTAAACATGGCTAAAA